TTATCGCCTTATAGCCCTATAGCCCTATCGCTCTAGAGCCCTATAGCTCTATAGTCCTATAGCCCTATAGCCCTATTGCCCAATAGCCCTATAGCCCTATAGCCCTATAGCCCAATAGCCCAATGGCCTTATAGCCTTATAGCCCTGTAGCCCGATAGACCTATAGTTCAATAGCCTAGTAGCCCCAGAGCCCCATAGCCCTATATCCCTACAGGCCTATAGCCCTATAGCCGTATAGCCTTATATCCCTATCGCCTTATAGCCCTATAGCCCTATAGCTCTATGTGCCTATAGCCCGATAGCCCTGTAGCCCCATTGCCCTATGTCCTTATAGCCCATATTCCTATAGGCTCATAGCCCTATGGCCCTATAGCCCTATAGCCCCATAGCCCCAGAGCCCCATAGCCCCATAGCCTATAGCCCTACGGCCCTATAGCCCTATGGCCCTATAGCCCTGTAGCCCTATAGGCCTATAGCTCTGTAGCCCCATGGCGCTATAGCTCTATAGTTCCATAGCCCTATAGCCCCATAGCCCCATCGCCCTATAGCCCAATAGCCCCATGGTCCTATAGCCCTGAAAAGACGTTGGTTTGGGTTTTTCTCTGGTATCATTCTAACGATATGTTAGATGATGCCGAATCTGCTGTTGATGCTGCTGATGCTCTGAGACTCACGCGGAAGCAGGTTCTGATGCTGATGCCGATGACGATGATGCTGACGATGCTGCTGATGTTGTCGTTGACGACGGTTATGATGTTGCTGCTGATGATGACGATGATGCTGCTGCTGCTGATGATGCTGATGATGATGATGCTGACGATGCTGATGCTGATGCTGATGCTGCTGCTGATGGTGATGATGATGATGTTGTTGGCACTGATATTGATGCCATCGATCATGTTGCTGCTGCCGATGATGAGGATCATGATGTTTACGCTATTGGTGATGATGATGAGAAGAATGATGATGCTGATGATGATGCTGATGATGCTGATGCTGATGCTGATGCTGCTGCTGCTGATGATGACGACGGTGATGATGATGCTGCCGCTGATGATGCTGATGATGCTCATGGTAGTGATGATTCTGACGAATATGATGCCTGCGACGGTGGTTGTGGGTGATGGTAGTGGTGATGCTGCTGATGATGATGCTGTTGCTGATGATGATGCTGATGATGATGATGCTGCTGATGATGCTGATGATGATGATGGTGATGGTAGTGATGACGAATCTGATGCCGGCGATGGTGGTTGTGGGTGATGATAGTGGTGATGATGATGCTGCTGCTGATGATGATGATGATGATGCTCATGATGACAATGATGATGACGACGGCGATGATGATGGCGATGTCGATGGTGGTGGTGGCGATGATTCCCCGATGATTCCCCAATCAGATATTGCCTCTGTAGGGGTCCTCGCGGATTTATATGGTTAGGTGAGGTTTGGCGCCGATTTCGGCGGCACGCCTGGGTGCCTGGGTGCCCGGGTGCCTGGTAGCCCTATAGCCCTATAGCCTTAGAGCCTTATAGCCTTATAGCCTTATAGCCTGATAGCCTTATAACCCTATAGCCCTATAGCCCTATAGAGATATAGCCCTAAAGCCCTGATAGCCCGATAGCCCTGTAGCCCTATAGCCCTATAGCTTTAAAGCCTTATAGCCCTATAGCCTTATAGCCTTATAGCCTTATTGCCCTGTAGCCTTATAGCCCTGTAGCCTTGTAGCCCTGTAGGCCTACAGCCCTGTAACCCTATAGCCCTGTAGCCCTATAGCCCTATAGTCCTATAGACCCAGAGCCTTATAGTCCTACAGCCCTATGGCCCTATAGACCCACAGCCCTATAGCCCTAAAAAGATTATGATTGGGTTGTTTCTCTGGTATCATGGTGATGCTTCTTCCCCATTCAGAGCTTGCCTCTGTATGGGGTCTTAGCGAATTCATATGGTTAGGTGACGTTTGGCGCCGATTTCGGCGGCACGCCCGGGTGCCCGGGTGCCTGGGTGCCCGGTAGCCTTATAGCCCTGTAGTCCCATAGCCTTAGAGCCTGATAGCCTTGTAGCCCTATAGCCCTATAGCGCTATACCCCCATAGCCCTACAGCCCTGATAGCCCTGATAGCCCGATAGCCCGGTAGCCCTATAACCCTATAGCCTTATAGCCTTATAGCCTCATAGCCCTATAGCTCTATAGCCCTATAGCCCTATAGCCCTATAGCCCTATAGCCCTTTAACCCTGTAGCCCTATCGCCCTGTAGCCCTGTAGCCTCATAGCCCTATAGCCTCATAGCCCCAGAGTCTTATAGCCCTATAGCCCTATAGCCCTATAGCCCTATAGCCCCATAGCACTATAGCCCTAAAACGATTGTAATTCCAGTTTTTCGTTATCATGACTAGTAATAGGAGCAGGATTTGACGATGAGGACGATGATGACGATATGTATGATGATGCGAGCGATGATACTGGTAAGCGGTGGTGGTGATGAGGAGGGAGAGCATCGGGTTGATCCAAAAGGGGGTCCAGCGACAAGGGGGTGGTGCAATAGATCTGGTGCAATCGATTTGTGGGGTTGCAGTAAATTTGGGGCGTGAAATTCACGTCGGGGTGCAAATGTATTGCTCATTTTCGGGTGCAATACATTATTGGCATTACAATGCAATGCAATTCTCCGGCGCATGCATTTGCAATACAGTCGCCCCAAATCTATTGCACCACCCCCTTTCAGCTGGACCCCTTTATGGGTCACCCAAAGAGAAGGGAGAGGTAGGTGGAGAGGGAAGGGACGGATTATGAGGAGGTGGTATATCAGGGAGGGTTGATGATAACGGACGGGTCGAGATGTTGTTGGCAGTGGTGGTCTAGTCGGATTAGCAGGCCCCATAGTTGTGACCATGATTGCTGAAATACTTCCTGGATTCCTCCGGGAACAACTTATCACACCCTTCCTTTCGATCCACCAGCAATCCCATCCTCTTCCTCCTCTTCCTCCTCCTCCTCCTCTTCCTCTTCCTCCTCTTGCTCCCTCCGCAGATCTCCTTCAGCATCGTGTGTTTCGATGCTGGAGTTGGGTGGGCTGAGGGGTAGGTGGGGGGTGGGGGTGGAGTGGGGGGCGGGGGTTGGGGTGGCAGCAGTACGCTGCTCCCTGTCGTTGACAGCCACTGGTGATTATGGCCCACCCTCGATGGGCTGCACCCTTGATGGCCCACCCTCGATGGCCCGCCCTCGATGAGGATGATGGCCCGCTCGATGGCCCACCGTCGGCCGCCCCCGGCCTGCGCGAGACGGCTTAGTTTCACCCGCCTTCCCGCGCTACCTTCGGCGCAGACGAGGAACCTGGAATCCGACGACCAAGCCTAACGGTGGCACCTTTCGGAGTGCATGCGCCGCGCAGGGGGCCACTTTTTCTTACAGGGGTCATGGGCGGCAGCCGCGTATGGAACGCGCGATGCAAGTCCGACCGTGCGCCCACGGTGTCGGGCGCAGCAGCCGCTGCAACACCAGGAAGCACACCGACTGGGCCCAGAGACACTGGACCGAGCATCACAATAGGTGAGCGCACGGAACAAGACGAGTCCAGCCCAATCAGCAGCCCAGAGGAGACCCGGACGGAGGAGCGACGCACCGTGCGAGGTTGCTTCCACCAGATAGCACCCATGGGCTTGCAGCGAGGGAGCGAGGGGCCGCCAGGGCCCCCGCGCGGGGACGATGAACAACAACCTAAAAGTCACGGTGCCCTTCGCGCCCAGCCAGCTCTTCGTTTTTTTGCTACGACGCGCGGCCTTGTCCAACTCCTCTACCCACTTCGACGACGTAGTCGAGCTAGGGCGTTTCCATCCAGGTGCGAAAGCGGTTCTAGCCACACTCCGGCCAAGGGAAACGCGCGACATCAGGCGATGGCATCTCTGCCGACGGCGCGCGCCAGAAGGACTCGAACAAGGACGCTTGGGCAGTCGTCGTCGTCGTCGCAGAGATCGCGGGCGGATTCGCATGCCGCGGCGC